ACAAAAGGAAGCATGGTTTATAGTTCACATTTTACATAACTGCTTTGCTTCTGAAATGAAATGTTTACAACTTCTCATTCAAATAACAAAAACAAAACTCTGAGCATCATCTTACAGGAAAGGATTCTTCAAGTCCACACTACCCACTCAGTGCAGAAGCATCTATTATTTCTTCTGACGTCCTAATCTTTCTCTGTTTACCTCCCCACTTGCGAATCTCTTATGGTTTTCCTCTTATCACTTCTGCACTGTGCTTCTTCCCTAACCTTAGCCAAGTGTGAGCTGGGTGTCCTCATCTCCTGGACCAAAACTGGTCTCAAGGGCTAGCTCCCTCTGTCCTTTCTTTCAGACAAAATGCACTCAGAAGAGAGCAGACTTCCTGTGCAGGCTAGCACTTATTCCACAGGTATCTGGAAACCACTTCTTTGCTTTCAAGTAGTTATGTAAACTAAACAGGGGCTCTTGTCCTTTTTTAAAAAAATATAGACATCCCCAAGAATGCTTCATAAATGATCATTTCAGAACCATTTAAGTGTCTCTCTTCCTATCACCAGCTAGTGACCCTGACACATAACCATGCTTGGTAAATGTATATTCATTTGTTGAAAGTGCAATTGACAAATATGCTATTTTCATCCAGTGGAATATTTGTATGAGTGAATGATCAGGTTCCTTGTTGAGTACAGTCACAGAGCAGAGAACGGAAAGAGGACTTGGGGTTTGGGGCAGTGTGGCAAAGGGCAGGGGCAACTTGTAGACTGAACATTTCCTTAGATCACTCACACTTCACCAGTATACAGAAAAGAACTCCTGTTACACTGCCAGGGTAGACATTTTTGCTTAGGAGGGAGTAAGAGGGGGGGACCTTCAATCACATCAAGAACCTGAATAGAACCAGTGTTGCATAGTGGGGAAAACACTATACCTGAGTAAGCCAGTTAGGCCTGGATTTGAACCCAGCTTTCATCAACTAGCAGTTATGGATTTGGGTAAATTATACAATTTCCTTTATTGTAATTCTCAAAATCTCTAAACTGTGCAAATCAATACTATTTCAAAAGATTGTTGACATAATTGAATGAGACAATTCTTTTGAAGCCCTAGTACAGTGTCCAACACATTTCATATACTTAGTAAATGACAATTAATAGTAGTAATAGTGGAGTATTGCTATAATTATTTGGTTGGGTGGAAAGACAACCATCTTTTTCCTTATTGTTTCATCACTAAGATTTTGTGTCCACTTTATGACAGTTCAAAGTTAATGACTTATTGAGAGCCAGCCATAACTTTTAAAGCTAGTGAACTTAGTGCTTCATTATTTTTTCACAATCTTTTCTTCCCTTCTCAACTCCTCACTTCTAGGTACCACCTTCTTTCCTCTTATTTTTATAACCACCCCAAATCTGGCTCACTCCCTTCCTAATTGAAAGTTTTGTACCATGTTCTTCATTTATTCTAAGGTGTGAATGGCTGATAAGCTCCTACAGTATTACTCCCAGGCGATATTTATACACAAAGAACAAAATATTTTAACTGAAAATATTAAGATCTTTTGTATTGAGTGTTAGTCAAATTGCAGGTTGCAGTTTAAATAAACCAAATTTAATGACTCTTGATACTTATTCTTTTCATATCAGTGTGCTTTTTTACAATATGTTATTTAGTGTACTAATGTAGAGAAAAAAATATAAGCAATTTCAAAGTTAGGGGGAAAATACATTTGCCTTAACCTTCAAGTGGAAGTTACTCTTGCCTAATCCATTTACATACCATTATGTGTCCCAGGTTTTAAACTGCCAACTTGTAACGGGTGTGGAACAGGGTCCAGAACTTGGGATGTCTGTGGATATAGGATATTCCTCATAGACCTGTCTGGGGGATGAGAGACATGAAGCAGGACCATTTAGAGTTACTTTGCATATCAATAACAGCAGGCCAGCTTCATAGTAATGCTGAATAGTTTGCCTGGTCCAGGAAGATGGGCGTGACTTTGACCTGTGATGTAGCTGGGAGGCGACTTCCCCTCCACCCTGTAATACAGTGTCTGCTTGAGAGCTTGGAACTGGTGTGTTCCACGCCACAGTGCCATGCCTGCCTGGACTAACAATGGTGGCCAAGAAAGGTGGAAAACATGGGAGTGCTAGCAGGTGTAGCTAATTGTGGAAGGAGTCAGAAATGGAGTTATGGAGGAGAAGCCAGGCCGGGATTTAAACTAAAAGGGGGGCACCTATGTGAAAGGGACAATGCAGGACCTTGTGGGGCCTTTCGGGACTAAAGGGGTGGAAAGACCCTCGCCAGCTGGCTGTGAGTAGGGGCCACATGGTTTTGGATTAAGAACAGGATGTCATGGTGACATGGCTGATCACGCTGGGAACCACGAGAGGCCTGTCCAGCTGAGCACAGATTACTGGGAGGAACTGGAAAAAGTGAGCTGTGGACTTCTGTTTTTTTTCTTTTTTTCCTAAAAAGCAGTACCTCTGACTGGCATGCTCTGAGACTGGCTTGACTGAGCAAAGGGTGGGGGACAGCACAGTGTGTGTTTGTGGGCATTCGAAGGGAGTGAGACCTAATGGCAAAATTCTGCCATTAGTCTAAACCTGTATAACTTTTAATTAAATAATTCCTTTCCTTTTTACAAAACTCTGGCACTGAGAGCCACAGTTCTTATTGGCAGTGAGCAATAGAATCCAGAGCAATAGACCCACAAGGGTTCTGTTACAAACCTTGCTGAATTTCACACTGAAAAATACGTAAACAAACGATGACATCAAAGGAGTTTAGCAGAGTAGGTGGCACTGATAAAAGAGTTGAAACTGAAACTGAACATTCTCATATTTCTTTCTCCACAGGAAAATCAAACTTAAATAATAAAGGTCCATTTTCTATATAGCCCAGTACCATGTAACTTAATTAAGAAATCATGTGGAAAAAATATCCTTCTCGATTACATTTAACTAGGATACCAAAAGCCTCATGCATAAACGGAAAAATTGATAAATTGAACCACATCAAAATTAAAAACCTTTGCTCTGCAAAATCTTTGTAAAAGGATAATCTACGGATTGTGAGAAAAGATTTGCAAATCAAAGAACTCTCAAAATTCAACAGTAAAACAAATAATTAAACTAGAAAATGAGCAAAAGATAATTCACAGAAGAGGATATACAGATTGCAAATAAACACATGAAAAGATGTTCAACATCATTAACCATTAGTGAAATGTAAATTAACACATCATTACACATTTCTAAAAATTACTTAAATAAAAAATAGTGACAATACCAAAGGTTGGTGGGGATGCAGAAAAACTGGAATGCTCATACATTGCTTATGGGAATGTAAAATGGTGCAGCCACTCTGGAAAACAATTTAGCAGCTTCTTAAGAAACTGCAACTACCACATGAGCTAGCAATCGCACTGTTGGGCACTTATCCCAGAAAAGTGAAAACTTAATGTTCATACAAAGACCTGCACATGAATGTTCATAGCAGCTTCATTTGTAATACTAAAACTTGGAACTAGTCCAGATTTCTTTCAATGGGTGAATGGCTAAACAAACTATGGTGCATCCCAGAAGATTCATACTATGAGTTCATTTATATAATATTCTGGAAATGACAAAATTATGGAAATGAAAAACAGATGTGGCTATAAAAGGGCAACATGAGGGATCCTTGTAGTGATGGAATGTTCTGTATCTTGATTATATTAACATCAACATCCTGGTTGTGGCATTGTACTATAGTTTTGAAATATGTTATCATTGAGAGAAACTGGGTAAAGGGTACACTCTGTGATATTTCTCACAACTACATGTGAATCTACAATTAGCTCAGTAAAATTATTAATTAAAGAAAAGGAAATACATACACACACATCCCTTTGTGCTTACTTCTGTCCTTGTACATTTAGGAACTATAATCATGTCATTAATTGCACAGGATTCTATAATGAAAAAAAAATCCCAGTTGTTTTCTAAAAGCTAATTTGGTCAAATGATAAACTAATAATAGCAAATTATTTAGCAAGCCATAAACCAAAAAAGTACAGATATTTAGCAGTTGAATTCTATTTCCTAACTCTTCTGCTATTCAATCTATTTTCTATACATATTAGATGACTGAATAGGCCATGATGGTCAAAATAGAAATGAAATTGTTTTAAGAAGTGATAGAAGATTTGAGAAGGAAGAGTTCCTAATGCCTTGACAATATGGTACTTCATAAATGATTGTGTGTGTATATGTAGGGTGGTCTGAAGCCACAAAGGATAAAAGTTAAGACAGGTTTGAGAACAGACTACTGAGATAATATTATACTTTTAAAAATATTGGTATCAGAGAGTATTTTTCACAGAGTGTACAAGAAATAGAACAGACACCAACGTAATTTTAACCTGCTAATTCATAAAAAGAGATTATTTCTGATAAAAAGAGTTCAGTCATTTCCTTATAAACACTGAAAGAAAATTGAGAGAAAATTTAAAGGTACTACTCTAAGAAAATGTAACAAAATAGCTTATATTCTCTCCCAATTAAACAGCAAATCACTCTAAAACAAGTGTTTTTCACTTTGAATATTTATCTGACTATATAACCTGCTGTCTCAATTGCATTTTTGTTTTGTAACAAAACCTTTTCTATAAAACCTAGTCCATCTAGAAGTGAATATAAATTGGTCCCTTTTTAAGCTCTTAACACATAAAAAACCTATATAATACATACATTAACTAAGTTTTATAAAAGGTAATATGGTTTTAGACTGATGTCGGGATTTGTATTCGTGGAAAAGTACAAGACAAGAATACCAAGTAGACATTTTCCATTTAATTCATTTAGAAGTTTACTATTTAATCATTACAGTACAATTTAACTGATAGTAAGTATTTCAGTACTTAAAGCACAGTTCTACAGAACTAGAAACAGTCTATTAAACTAGCAGGGTTTGACAACGGTTGTAGTGTGGATAACCGTTTTCTATGCTTAGCGTGCCTGAGTTTACAGTTCATCGTTTACAGGGCCATCGTCTGATTCTCCTGCCGCAGTCATCTCTTCATTGATAACAGGTGGGCTTTCTTCGTTTTCATCATCCATTTCTTCACATTGGAGTTCTTTTGCAATTAATTCCCTACCTAATTTCATGTGCAGTCCTTCGGTGTAATGGAGCTTCCTTCTCAATTCAAACTGCCGCTGTTTTTCTCGTCTGTCCAAGAAAATTCTGGTGTTGTATGCCTCCTTGCTCTCTGTCTCCCCCATGAGACAGTTTGGCTCAGAGAGATCAGTGGCAGCTAATTTCTTAGCTAAGGTATCTATAGCGGTGTCTCCGGTCTGGTCTTTTGTTTCTAAATCACGCATGGTATTTTCTCTGCCATCTTGAAACCTGAGATGAGGAATGTTGGGCTCATTTATCTTCATTGAATCATAGTCTCTGTATGCAGAGCGGCATGTGGCACGGATATTTGACTCGTCCCACCTGTTAGACTTTTTGGTCTGTACTTCACTAGGCCCTCCAGACTGCTGGGCAGAGGTCGCCTTCGAAGAATCCGTGGAGCCTTTGTTTTTCAGGATCCCCTTGATGGGTCTGTGTGAGGTGGTGGAAGTAGCCATGGTGGGGATTTAAAGGAGTGGCTAAGCGAGCTCTGGGCCACAGCCGCCTGCAGCGCTTCAAGTTGATACTGAAGCGAGGTCTGTTTGGATCACGTTTCCAAGACCCCTAGGAGCCTCACTGGACCGACCTCACAAAGGACGCCAGCCACAATGGTCGCCACAGCAGCTAGTGCGAACGTCACCACCTTGCAGCCCACACTGATGTCTTTTTTTTTTTTAATGGAGTAAGATAAGAAATATCCCCGAGTTGCACGTGAAACAAGAAAGCACTGTTTTATGACTTTCTATATATACCGTGTATGAGGAGGCTATGTAAAATATATTTCTTAGTGTGGGTCACTGTCAAAAATTCCAAAGCCAATATATTTGTTAGAAAGATTGGTGGCATTGACACTACAAGGTAGTTAACTTCTTCTCCTTCCATCTGTTGCTATCCACACCTGACTCTCTTCCCAACTACACACACACAATCCCTAATCCCTTGACCCCCTCTCCTTCTCTGCCTGCCTTTCAGTTAATGGCCACAATATTCAAACACAACACTGGCTGGGAACCTGCACATCAATCTCGGTGCCTTCATAGTGCCACTCTCCAATCCAGTCCTCAGGCACTGGCATAAATATTTCCAGAAACTCTCCAGTTCTATCTTTTCTGCAAACACCTTGTTCCCTCATAACACCTCCTGCTTATATCCAACCTCTTATCTACCCTCCAGCCAGAGTTGTCTTTTAAAAACACCCATCAAATCTTGTCATATCTCTCTTTTAAACTGTTTAGCAGCTGCCAATTTTCTTTAACATAGAGACCAAAATCCAGAAGAAACCAAAAAGCAGCTCCATTATCTGCTGGAGCATCATCCCTCCAATTCTTCCCACCCTCCCTCCAACTTTCTGTTCTGGCCTTTTGGTTCCAGGAGCATTCACCTTCCTTCCTGTCCCAGAACCTTTTTCTAGGTTCTTCCCAGTCTGGAATGCCCCTTCAGATTTCAGCTCTATCATTACTGTACAGGGGCCTATTTCCTGACCCCTGAACAAATTCTCCTTGGCAGCACTCAGAGTTCTTGTAATTATATTATCTGTGTACATTAGATTGTAGACTCAAAGAGATACAGGTAGGTGTTTGTTTTGCTCATCATTATCTCCAGCTTTGTATCTTCACAACATTATGTTGGACCTGGCACACAGTTGGTATTACAAAAATATTTATTGAGTGAAAAATAAATGATAGAGGATAGGAAATTGGAAGAATGAAATGTGCGACTGGAGAAAAGGGGGCTCCAGAACTTTTATAGTCATTTACAATTTGTTCAGTCAGTTACGTGGGAAAAACTACTCACATGTGGAACTTGGGGTCTGTTATAACAAGCAGCTTTAGAACATTTGCCCTTCACAGGCCACAGATGTGATATTCTTCTAAAACACAAAAGGGAAATTAAGATTTAGTTTCACCTTTTCCTCTCCAGGTAGCATTCACAAGACATTTTTCACTTCTGATTTACTTTGCTTCCTCTTTTCTCCCTCAAGTTCTTTCTACATTTTAGAACATGAAAGCAAAAGCATGAAAGAACCATAAAACTTTACAAGGATCTTAAGCACCTTAAGTTCAAATTGTCCTGTATTCTCCAAAGTCTTACTAATTTCAGGAGTTGCAATCACTTTAAAACTGTGTTATTCATTTCATAAAAATAATTTCCTAATATCATACTCTTTGGAAAAAAAAGCTTTATTTTGTGGTGAGGGCCTTCAAAAATTCAAAAGCTAATATTCAAGGCTATAGGAAAAAACTTCTGGTATGTGAAGGGAAAAAAAAACCAACCATCATTATTCAGAAATACTCCAGGCCACCCTTCAAAAAAGCCTAACTGAAAGGCAGCACAGACCAGCACAAATGCAATTTGCCTTCCTGTTTAGTAGGCATAGTGGGCCTGTGTGTGTTTAGCTGTAAACAGGATGTTAAGGGAGACACTGATTCCAGTGTACTGGGATTTTGCTTTTGTGTGTAGACAGCACTCACCCCACATACTATGATCTGAATATACAAGTTAATCAATATATAATCAGTCAGCAATCCAGTTGAGTATTCTGACTCATCACACAGTAACACAATGGTAGTTCATATGTTAGGACAGGAACACTGTGGTTGTGATCTATTACATGGGTTAAAAATGAAGTCATTTAAAGAATGAAATCAATGGGCATTACGGATTTCAATTGCACATTACTTAAAAGTAATCCTTTTTCACCTACCATTTGCTAATTATCTGCTTAATGAAAGTTGCCTAAAGGAAGAAGAATTTTGAGCTCTCGTCATCATACTAAAAATTGTCAATTTATTCAAAACTACTAGAAGCTTAAAAGTTAGAAATGATCATAAGTCTTTCCAATATTCCTGTTTACATGGTTCATTTGTTATTACCCTAGGACAAGGGCTGAGCAGATATGTCTGAGGTCCCAACATGCACACACACAGTCCTCCAGGTCTGACTAAAACTTTCCCCATCAATGACACATTATATGAAATTAGTTCGGTACAGGCCTAGAAGATATTTATTTCAACAAATACTTAGGTGCCATCCACTATATTTCCAGTAGAAAAACCTTTATTTTGAATGCACAAAAATGAAGCTGTGCTTCAGTAGTCTTCAAAGTTAACATTTGGCAACTACATCTAAATATGCATCATGTTCTATTATCACAGTTTTAAAATACATTAAAAATATCACTTTTATCTAAAATGTCATGTGAATTTTGTGTTGTTTGCATGGGATCAGAGTATTTTTACAGAGCACTCACTCTTTATTAATTGTGACAATAGATTACTCAACATCTTTCCTTCCAGTGAGAATCACATCCCTTCTATGGAGATATTCTCCAAATGTCATGAATACAGGAGTTGGATCAAAAGGAGAACAAAACCAGGAACACAGAAATTTTCAACCAAAGGTGAGAACACCTAAGATACCAAGAATTACCAAAAACAAAGCAGGTATCCTAAATGTCCCACTGAGTGCCATTAGTGAAAGATTAGTAAAATATTGAGAAAACAGCAGGCTATTTTAAGACACATTATGCTGTCAGAAGTGAAGATTAATAGTAGTTCACCCATGTGGCACCTGAAGTCATACATCAATCCACCCAAGAATTGTCCACAGTACTTAGAGAATTATGTTAGATACTGTGTGGTTAAAAATAAAAGTACTATTTGGTTTTTTAATCTATTTTTCTTGTCCAATCTCTCTCTCTCTCTTATATTTTAACCCCCAATTTCTGATCTCCTACTAAATGCCCCTATCTTAGATTGAGTTCTTTTAGAAGCCAACTCTGAAATAAGGATTCAATTCCAAGTAGTTTACTTGAGAGAACATTTGAAGAAAACACTGGTTGAGGATTGGGGAAGTGAGATGGAGAAGTGAGACAGGGAAGGGTAGGAGGCAAAGCCTGCATTACCTAAGGAGTTCCTAAACTCTAGTGGGCAACTAGAGCTTAATCTTGCTGGGAAACTCTGGGAATCGACGTAGAAGAATTACTCTCATTGGCCACCTTCACTACTCTAGTGAGGGAGCTACAGTGTATTTATAGATCAGTTGCTGACGTCTTTACTTTGGGCCTTCTGGGAGTGGGAAAAGACATTCATTCTTCATCACTCTGGATTCCTGCTGGAGTATCAGGAGTGAATGATCAACTTCCTGATGCATCCTTGTATTGGCTTACTCCCTTCCCCACTTCACAAGCTCTCTACTGCTATCCTGCTCCCAGGGATCACAGTTCCAAATGAAAGTCCTTTTCTTTAGGTCTGCTTTTGCAAGTAAAACCCAGACTAAGACAAAAATTGTGTACTTTATCTTGAACTCCCACACATCTAACACAGTAATTGGCGTATGTCCATACTCTGTGGCAATGTCCATATTTCTGTAAAATGAGTGAATGAACTGAGGGAAGTGCACAAAACTCTTTTGAAAGAAAGAGCCTGACAATGTGAATAGATCGAGAGGTTCAGTGAGGCAATAGTTTTCCATCTTTTTCATTACAAGTTTTAAAGCAGTAAAACTTTTTCCCCAAATGAAATACTACATAGAACTTCTGAATAAAAACTAATAAAATTGGAGGTAGGAAGCAGTGGAGTTGGACTGTTTGAAGGTGGAGACCTCAGAGTTCTCACTGCCAGCTATCACAGAGGTGGCTCTTAAGGCATCACAGGGACCTGAAGAGGGAGGCCAATTTGAAAACCACTGCAAGATAGAGTCATTGACAAAAGCTGGAGTGTTTGGTTACCACCAAGTATTGATTTTCTGAGTGGTGATTTGTTTTGAGAGTAGGGGTAAGGAGATTTTCTACTCTAGTGATTCAGACAAGCACTTTCACACTTTCATTGAGAAGTGGTCACAAATTAGACAGGATATCAATGAGAACTTATGATGTTACAGAGTAAACATCAACTTGTCTCTTCCAAAAGGCTCATCTAGTTTTGGAACATTAAATGAAGAAAGTGTTATCAGTGGGAAAGTATGTAGACGTTATGCAAAAAGTAATGCCAAAGATATCAGCAAATAGGCTTAGCAGGGATTGGCTGAAGAGTTTGTAGTAGAAAAGTGTTCTTTCTGCTCCTTAAAGCACACTATGACTTGTCATGGTTAGGAAAATGAAAGGGTGTTGTTCATATTCTTGCTCTTAACCCTAGTTGCCCAGGGAAAGAGCTATTGATAAAACATGCAACATGCTTTTATCAACTATTTTGATATATAAATGTTATAAAGATATATCCTGGAAAGTATTGTTTTGGATTAGATGGGAATCCTGAAATTCATAATATCCAAACTCTTCATTGCCTAACTGAGAGGACTAAGGACCAGAAATGCATGGTAGCTTGGTAGGATCACACAAGTGGTTAGTGGCACACCCAACACTAAAAGTCCAGGTCCTTTGGGAATGTGATAGCAGCGTACTTTCCTATTTTCTGCATGTCCTCTCTAGAAGTGATGAGAGTCATGGGTCTCAGTATGT